AATCGTCGATTCAGCCATGTGAAGACTGCATTTACAGACATGATCATAATAGTTTGGCCAGCATTCGGAGATTTGGGGTTGGGTCAGAGAGTTTTTACAGTATTACCAATGTGTTACTGTAAACTCTCTGGATGGGTTGGGGTTGGGATCGTCAAGGTGACAACTGCAGTTGTAGACGCATGGTTGATTTTAGTTTGTACACAGAGAATGGGAATTGGGTCCCTTCTTTTTTCATCGTTTTTTTTTCTTTTTCTTCTGGGATATAGTAGTTTACTTTCCATCCAATAATACAAGCCAGAAGATTATTATTATCCAACCAGCTGATAACTGGCACGATCAGAAAGCAGACCCTTCCATGGGTCCTGGAGAGGAGGGAGGAGCATTGAGAAGCTATGATATTGTGCGGCCTGCAATGATGCCTATTCTCCAACCAAATAAGTAAGTTTATTTTTCTCCTAATCTTGTGTTGGGATGAGGAAGGTCCAAGGTACCTAAAAATAAACCTGGTTCGTTCCAATATCCTCGAGAACGTCTGAAACTGTGTCTAGTTGGGTGTATGCAAAGTGGTTATATGTGAGGCAGCGTGGTGGAATCAGGCTCTTGTCAATTTTTGGGCAGGTAGAGTTATTGGTATCATCTTAAAGCTTGTTCACTTGACTTTATTTCTAAGAAAAAAAATCCTTTTATCTTGAATACAAGTCGAGATATTTGCGAATGAAGGAGGTGGGGGTCACCAGTTTTCAGAGGTAAAATTAATGAGAAAATGGTCGTCAAAGATTAGTTACTTCCTTAGCTTAAGAGTCTGTGGTAACTGAAAATTTAAATTTTTGTGCCTTTAATCAACGTTTTTCAGAAAAATCCAAACAGAAATGAGTTCTTTAATGGGAATGAAAGATGTTGAGCTCCCCCCCCCCCCAAAAAAAAAAAAAAAAAATTTTTTTTAAACATAATAATTTTTTTTAATTGAAAAAAATTCACAAACCTGCGGAAAAACACAAGTTTCTTCGCTTTAATTATTTTGACGAGAGCCTGATTCCACCACGCTGCCTCACATATTTATTTAGTACTAGAGTTCGTGGCAGAGATGCGTCCCACGTAAACGAACTGGGGCTGCGTGTGCCCACTCTGGGACGTTGAACTTCAAGGGCTGGACATGCACAGTTCAACAGACGGATGAGTACTTTACGAGACGCAAGTGGAGGCATCTCAGTGCGTGGTCTTATTCTTAGGAAGAAATCAACAAGCCTGCACTGAAATATGGGAGCATGGTGGAGTTTAATATATTACTAGAGCTGGTGGGAAGCATAGTGGGGGCTCAGATTGTTCATTCTAATGGGAGCACGCCAGCCAAGCCGATGATGGTAAGAAGGTCCCTACGTCTGACACGTTTGACGTCACTGCTGCGAGCTCTAACATCGTATATATAACCTCTGTGCGTGTATGGCAGCGTCGTTTGTTCTTACTTTTCTGGTCTCTCTTGCCGTTTTAACTCCCAGTGGAGCATAGGCCTTAAACAACATTTCTCCAGCGAAGCCTGTCCTGTACATCCTTTTCGAGGCGTTTCCATGATGTCGCCGCCTTTTCTATTTCCGCTTGTACCTCTCGCCTCAAGGTCATCTCTGAGGTTCTTGTGGACGACAGGAAGTTTCTCGGCTAGGTGGCTTCCTTCCGGCTTTCACCACCCTGTGTCACTCTACACTCCATTTTCTCTGCTCTCTTCTGTAATGAAGGTCCTCTATCTTCCAGAACTGGTGGTCGTGTTGATTTTGCTGTTGATGTTTTTGTAGTTGTTTTTTGTTTTACATGAAAAGGCTGCTAACCCTTAGCCCAGCCGACCTTAGTCGCCTTCTACGACACGCGACATGCGCGGTACGGATATTTTGGTCCTGTTCTTAGCTCCCCTGTCCCGGGAACTACACGGGAGAACTTCTCAGGTGCAATCACATATTAATGATAACGTAACAATAATTATTGTTGATAATTATTTTGATAATGTGGGTTACGATCAACGCAATCTATACAGACAGACAGACGGACGGACGTAGGGACGGACGGATGGAAGGATGGATGGATGGATGGATAGATAGATAGATAGTACACTGACAGACGGAAGGGTGATGGATGGATAAGTAGATAAGAAGATAGATAAGTAGATAGAAATAATACGTAAATAGACAGATAAGTGATTATTAAAGATGACCTTGTAACGCTAAAGAAAAATGCCGTTAATTCACGCAACAGGAGCTGTTAAATTAATCAACTGTGATCTTGCATGCAATTTATGCAGGTTCTGTAAGCAGGAATTTTTAACGACTGGGCAGAAGGAGAGGTTGGGGGGGGGGGGGGGGGGAATTACCACCTGCTAGAAATACAAAAAAATAATTTTGAAAATAAAAATTCTGGCAGATATGCAATGCTTATGAGCTAATGGGAACCTGAATATAAAAAAAAAAAATTAAATATTTTTAAATTGTTGTTTGTTTGTTTGTTTGGTATAGGGTTTTACGGCGCTCGCAACTGCATAAGGTCATATTTTTTTATTTATTTATTTAAAAAAAATATTTTTAAAAAAATTACATGATGACATCAACAAAAAGATACAAAAAAGTGATCCAGTATAATTGTAAGAAGTTAGTTATTGGTTCGATAAGTTTTGGCACCTGTTTCATTTCACGTTGGGGGAAAAAGTTACCTTTTATTAAGAACAAAAAAATAAAATTAGAACGAGGGTAAAGATTTCAACGCTGTCTTTGTCAAGTTTAAGATTTGACATTAATTTGACCTGACGATCAACCTCCACTCAACACAAACGCACTAAATACACAAACTCACGGATATACACCTAACATACATGCCCCTTAGCCCCGCTCTCTCAAAAAGCAGTTTTAGTTTTAGTTTTAGTAGAGTTTTTACGACACTAGCAACACAATAAGGTCATAATATAAGTGCCGAAGATTAGAGGTGTTACAAGAGAGTAACACACACAAAAAAAGAAGGAGGGGAGATAAAGACGATAGACGTTTGATAGGAAAGAAGAAGCTAACGACACCAGAGCATCAGCCAACCGCCCATCTAAAAAAGTTGGAGAAAAGTACCAAAAGTAGACAGATAATCAAGACAGTAGTAGTAGTTGAAGCTACGTACTGTCACAGGACCATTTCGAAAAGACAACGTGCGTGTTTGGTAAGATTGCTTTTTAAAAATTGTTTGTTTGTTTGCTTTTGTTTGCTTTTTTGGTTGTTTTGCAGCGAGAATTTTGAACCATTTAATTTGTTTCAATTTCTTATGTGTATGTGTGCTTGTGCGTGTACGTCTGTGTGTATGTGCGGGCCTGTCTCTCTCTCTCTCACTCACTCTCTCTCTCTCTCTCTCTCTCTCTCTCTCTTTCTCTCTCTCTCTCTCTCTCTCTCTCTCTCTCTCTCTCTCTCTCTCTCTGTGTGTGTGTGTGTGTATTCATATTCTTTTGAAGGTCCTCTTTAACGCCATCCAGCCAAGTTTTTCGTTGTCCGCCCCTGCCAAGCTAGAAAGTAGAATTTGAACAATGCAAAATATTACCTGAATGAATTATTCGTTTCGTTTTGAATTCATTGCTGGTTTAGCTTTTCGCTAGATTAAACTTTCATGACAACCTCGGGTGATTTTTATTTGGCACGATGTGGCAAAACTTGAAAAAGTAAAATTACTTTTCAGTATAAAGGCCACTTTAAGTTCAGGCAAATTCATTTCCCCCTGATTCATTTCCAGAACGTTGGTAAGATCATTAATATTAGAAACCGTCTGTTGTCCAGTTATTCCAAAAAAAAAAAAAAAAGAAGAAAGAAATCGCAGCGGGCAAACTGAAGTGTATGCCTTTAAACACTAATGCTGCTTTAGATAGGGAGGAAAAGGGGTGGCTAGAATTGGGGACGGGGGGGAGGGGGGGATGCCTGGGATTCATTTCCATCTCAAGTAGATCAGAGCCATGTGGATGGAGAGCCATTAAAAGGCTAATTCCAGGAATGTTCAAGTTATGATTGAACCAGGACCATTTATTTAGTTTATTATATCAGGCGGCACAAAGTATGTCCTTTTCCTGAAATCCTTCTAGGTAAAGGTAAGAAAGAAATTGGTTGCTTATTTCTAATTTTTGACGTTTTATTCTGTGAAAGAATGACATAGCATTTTTATTAGATTCGAAAATAATATAGTCGGAACTGCCCTTGACGATTGTCAACTGCAGAGTAGAAAAGTGATCGTCTTAAACAGGTGGGGTTCTCGGACAGTGTCATTGTTATATATAAAAAAACCTCAATCACATGGAGACGGGAAGCGGTCGTTAGTACAGGTGGATACCCTGGGCAGCTGGCCGTTAGAGCAGGTTCGGCTTTACAGTCGGAATTGAACGGCCACCGGTAAAAGACAATCACCTGTACAAACGGCCACTTCCCCTTTTCTCCCTCGCTTCTTTAAAAAAAATAAAAATATTATGGCACTGTGTACGACGTCCACCCGTCTAAGACAACAATTTTTCCTCCTCGAAAGTCGAAAGCGAGCGGCCGTTAGAACAGGATCCCCCCCCCCCACCCCCAAACCACCCAGAGCAGTGCTACTGACAGAAAATGTCTTTGGGCCATTCCCAAAGAGGGGGTATTCTTATGCACAGTAGAATTGTAAATGGGCACACTTATCAATGTCATGCTCTTTCTGTGCCTGAACTATATAGGGGGAACTGCTACTTTTTCTCTTCTCAACCTTACTATCGTCATATGTCCTCTACTTCATGTGTATGTTTGTCACTCTCTTGTGAATTGCTTATTCCGCGGTGCCTTGACTTTGTGCTTTTGAGACTAGAGAGGTGAGCAGAATAAGCCTGATTCCCCGTTTGGACTTCTCTGTTGACATCCACCCCCTGGCGCTCATATGACCGTATGCACTTGCGAGCGCTGTAAAACCTTTCTAAAACAAAAACAAGCACAGGATTGACTATACTAAAGCCTCTTATTTTCTGTTCGCAGCGCTAGATCAAGAACTATGACGAAGTTCCTCACCACTGTGGTAATCTTCAGCCTCGCCATACTTGCTACCATCCTTGTAGCTGTAGAAGCTCGGCCACCCTCGATAGAAGGAGTTGTCGGGATAGGATACTCCGGCATTGTTGAGGAGCTTCGTTCTCGAGGAGGCGTACGGTGAGTAATGAGGAATCTACTGGGTAGTTACTGGGCGGGCTGGATAGGCAATACAGAATCTCTGTAGTAGGCTAGGATAGGCAATATGGAATCTCTGTTGTAGACTAGGATAGGCAATACGGATTCCATGTAGAAGGCAATGTTGAATCTCTGTAGTAGGCAATGTTGAATCCACTTGGTAGGCTAGGATAGGCAACACATCGGAATTTATTAGGCAGGCTGGATAGGCAATACGTAATTTACTGGTAGGCTATGATAGTCAATACGGAATTTACAAGGTAGGCTAGGATAGGCAATACGAATCTCTGTAGTAGGTTAGCATAGGCAATACCAAGTTTCCTGGGTAGGCTGGGATAGGCAAAACGTAATTTACAGGGTAGGCTAAGATATGCAATATGGAATTTACGGAGTAAGCCAGGATAGACAAGCGAATCTACTGATTTTATTTGATAGTCTAGGGTAGGCAATACGTAATTTACTGGGGAGGTTGGATAGGCAATACGGAATCTACCGAGTAAGTTGGATAGGCAATACGGAATTTTTGTAGTAGGCATTTCTGAATCTACTGAGTATGCTAGGATAGGACATACAGAATCCCTGTCCTGTAATAGGCAATGAGGAATCCCGTGATTGGGCTACAGTAATACTGAATGTCTCGGGTAAATAGTACGGAGTCCCTGTGGTAGGCAAAAAGGAACCCCGTGTCACGGACACTTGCTTGACATTATTTTTTAGTCTGAACTGATTATATACTCGGCCATATGAGCCCCCAAACTGATCTGAGGCCGACTTTCCATAGAAAGGAAGGTACATGCACACAACGCATCTCAGGCGTGAAAACAAAAATGGGCACAAAGATTTAGAGTACCGCCTTCCATACAGTCTTCGCAAAAGAGTTAAGGACCACTTACAAAAGTGTACTAAAAAAAATAAAAACTCAGGAAATCAAATTATGCCTTCTTTGACCCATATTTAATTCATCAATCCATAAGTGCAAAAAAGAAATTTCATCACAATCGAAAACGAAATGCGTAATTCCCAGCGCTCAAAAGGGACCCACCCTCAAAATCGAAAATCGCGAAAGAAAGAGTCTCCAAAAATCTCAGCAATATCAAAGAAAACGACCAGTTAAAGTTTGTGAATGTCAATGGAATTGTCAGAAGTGCATGTGTCCACCATTCACGACAAAGAAGTCAAGGCATACGGACAGGGCAGCATTATCTGCAGGAGATCTTTCGACCTCTGGTCGTCACGACGCTGCAGCAGATTGGGCCTGCTGCAGCCTGCTGTACTTCAGGACGACAACGCCACGCCGCACTGGTCCAGGGCCGTCAACGCCTTCGTGCAGCAGGCGGGGATTATCCGCATGGTTTGGCCAGCCAACTGTCCAGACCTCAATCCCATTGAACAGTTGAATGCTGAGCGTGATCGGAGAGTTCGGGAGAACTACCCTTTGTCCGCTAGCAGCTGCTTGGATGGCTGTAACAAAAATGGAACAACATTCCCCCGCCTTTCTTTTAAGATTTTCGATTTTGAGGCTAGGTCCATTTTGATCACTGGGAATCATGTATTTCGGTTTCGATTGTGGTGAAATTTCTTCTCTGCACTCTTGGATTGATGAATTAGATTAATGTATGTTTAAGAACGAATAATTTGTTTTTCTGGTTTTTATTTTTCGTGCACTTCTGCAAGTGGTCCTTAACTTTTTTTGAAGACTGAAGGACGGTACGACACAGCGGTAACAAGAACCGCGTGAGTGGATGAAAAGTCAACTTGTTCACTTTTTGTGAGGCGTGTGACAGTTCAGGTGAACTCGAGAGGGACGACTACAAGAAGAAACTTATTGTGTTTGTAAGAGCCCGGCCACTCATTTGGTGCCCCCGAAATAAACGATGCTCACAGACACATCCTAGTGGATGAACACCTTTACCAAAAGTCATATTGCCCCCCCCCCCTCCCCCACCCTCTTTGCTTTTTGATAGAACATCTTTTCAAGGTTATTCTGACATTAAAACATGGGTGCACCATCCAGCTTTCTGCTCGTTACCTGTGTTAGAAAACCTTCGTTTGGCAGTAGTAATTATTAAAAGCTGTGCAGCCTGGCGCCCCCCCCCCCCCATCTCTCTCTCTCTGTCTGTCTCTGACCGTCTCTCTTTCTCTCCATGTCTGTGCGTCTCTCTCTTTCTCTTTCATTTTTTCTTTCTTTATCTGTCTGTCTCTCTGTCTGTCTGTCTTTCTGTCTATCTGTCCATCTGTCTCTCTCCCAGTCTCTCTCTGTCTCTCTCTCTCTCTCTCTCTCTCTCTCTCTCTCTCTCTCTCTCTCTCTCTCACACACACACACACACACACACACACAAACACGCACACAATAAATAATATTATGCTTTTATCAAACACTAATAGTCTTTACCATTATCTAATACCATTAACTAATATAATATTGTTTCTCCTCTTGTTTTACAGGTTTTCCGATCCAGTCATCCCGGATTTTTATTAGAGAAGGACTCTAAGCCTTTATATATTAGATCTATCAATTTACAATCAGAATTAAACGCACGATAAAGCTATCTTTTGTCCAAGTATATTTATTGTCTCCACACGCTGTTTCAACACTGAAAATACAATCATATTCTGATTTCTTCCCATTATTATGATGCGGCACATAGCAGGCACGAAGGAGAGCTGTACAGTCAAACGATGAGCCGTGTATGGTGTTGGTAAAATTGAATAGATTGTGTCTACCTACTGCATCTGTAAAATGTGTTACTTCACTACCATAAATACTCTTCTCAATATAATACGTAATAGAGAACTTTCATGGGTGGTTCGCGGGTGCTCTGGGGTGGTTTGCTCCTTCTTTCCTATCAAACATCTATCGTCCTTACCTTTTCTTCTTCTTTTTAGTGCTTGTTACTCTCTTGTAACACCTCTAATCTTCGGCACTTACATGATTTAATTGCGCTGAAATAGCAGTAAAACTCTTATTAGAACAAAACAAACAAAAACAAGCAACACCCCCACCCCTCTAAAACAAGAGTATCTTCGAAATTGGAATGAGGCTGCTTGAAATTAAGAGACCCTTCAAAGTAGGAAAAACCGTTACATAAAGTATTGCAATTAGTTGCACTAAAGGTTGAAGAACCATGTGCAGCAGAGGAAAAAACCAAAGAAGAAGACTATCGTAATCTAAAACTTTAAGAAAGATTCACTTATCAAATCTGCTTATCTATCTATCTATCTATCTATCTATCTATCTATCTATCTATCTATCTATCTATCTGACAGTACTATAAGGTAACGCCTAATCATTCTTTCTAACAAATGTAATCTTTATCTTTAGTTGATTTTTTACCCGTTTGTTTTGTCTGTGTGTCAGCTTATAGTTGCTGTAACCTTCTCCTGCCTGTACAGCTGATTTGCCCGTGTAGTCAAAACTGTTTTAAGCTTTTGTACATATCTTTGTAGATTTCAGAACTTTGGAAGCCCTGAGGTCGAGATTCGAACGAGTTTCTTTTGCAGGGGGAAAAAATCTTTTAAAATATTAGAAAAAGTATTTTAAAAAGTATTTTAAAAAAGAAAAAAAATATTGTACTGTGTTATTCAGCGTAATTTCGACCACATTGTGCAGTTTCATAATTTTTCTGTATTCTTTTTCTAAATGTAGGTACTAAAGGGTTAAGTTAATTGTAATTATTCTGTGTGCGTGATATTAACAGGAAAGGATTTTCTGATTGTATATATTTTACACGAGATACTCGATATAACTTCTATCCACAAGGGAATTGAACTCAAGTCATTTGCGTGCGATGGCGAAGTGTTTAGCCGATGACAGAATATGCTGTCTCAAACATGATTCAAGAAGAATAGGAATTTGTTTTGAAATGGTTCCCAATCCTTTATCTTTTCTATATTTAAGAATAATTAGATTTCATATTCGCAAAGCATCTCTTTCATAGCTCTTTTTATGATGCTTCCCAGATGTGCACGCTATATTGAAATAGTGTAATCTGAACTACAATGTGGTCTAACTCTAATACAATCAAAGGAATGATATTATGTCCTTTTTGTATTAAAGAGGATGTTGCTATCCACTAGATATTATAGAAGCCAAGGCTTCAGCTTCAGGTCGTATCTGCCCCGCTTTGGACTCAGCACAAGGACCAAAAGTCGAGAATATATACTGCCATTTGATCTTAGCCAAAGGGCCGAGACGCGATGATAATATCATGGTTTTTTTTTAATCCCCGCATTTATTTAGTATACGTACAGAAACCAATGTTTTTTTTAAATTCTGACATTTCAAAATTATTTAGATATTCTTATGGGTACCATTTTTGCAGTACTTGAGGTCAAAGTTTTGTTCTTTTTCTTCGAGGAAGACTACCTGTTTCTGATAATACAGGAAAAATAAGCAGCCTCTTTAACCGAACTTTTTCGTCTCTCAAATGCGTTCACAGAAGAGCACAAAGATACCAAAACTATAAAAGTGAAGGTTTCTAATCCAGCACCGACATAATTTCCAGCTCTGAATCTGATCAAAAGCCATTCTCTTCATAATTGTATTATTACCAAATACTTTTAAAAGAACTGTCGTTAAGCTGTTAATCCTAGTTTGATTTTGGTTGTTTTTCTATATGTGAGGCAGCGTGGTGGAATCAGGCTCTCGTCAAAATAATGAATTCGAAGAAAACAGCAGTTTTCTTCCTGCTTAGCAATTTTTATCAAATCTTTGAATTTTGGCTCAACACCTTTTATGTCCATTTACAAACACATTCCTTTGAGGATTTCACCGAAAACGTTGATTAAAGGCACAAAAATATAAATTTACAGTTTCCATGGACTCTCCAGCTTTGGAATTTACCAAGCTCTGGCGGCCATTTTCTTGCTAATTTTACCTCTTAAATTAGGTGACCCCCATCTCCTTCCATCCAAAATATCTCCACTTCTATTGAAGATGGATGGGTAATTTTTTCATTGAAAACAAGACAAATGAACAAGCTTTAAGATGATACCAATAACTCCATATGCCCCAAAATTGACGAGAGCCTGATTCCACCACGCTGCCTCACATATCTTTTGAACGCTTATTGTTTTAACACTTTGCCCGCCATTACATTTTGGGGAATATCCAAAGAAACTGAGTTGCAAACATCGCCTATCGCCGAGATGAGGTTGCAAAGCCTCCATCTTTGCCTTAAGACAACTACTTTTACGACATATTTGTTAAGCAAGTTCTGTAGGTCGGCTTTACTTTAAAAAAGAAAAAAAAAGAAGACATAGCTTAGATTCAGTGTCACGCGATCTCTTAATGTTACACAGTATAAAAACTAACTTTTGATGGCGAAATTTTGACTCAGTAGCATCAGCGCTCATGAAACATCTCATTAAAACTTATGGCCTTTGCGGTGAATCATGCGCACGGACGCTTCAATATTTGACAGACGCGTAAGGGCATTCTGACGTCTCTGTCGTCATTAAATTTGTTCGCCACGGCTCCAAAAACCGGGCCCGTTTCTTGTGACCTTAGCCAAGAGTGCGATTATGTCTGTGGGCGGATTTCAAAGTCGAGTTTTGTGTCACCACCTGACTTTTGGCTCTGATAAATATTACTTTAATGTAGGCCCTGTATTCGTTATATATAACAATCTGTTTCAACATTGTGGCTCATTAAAAAAAGAACATGTTAGGGGTCAGCAATGCTGTCAATGTGTTTCAGAGAAGGCTCAATATTACGCTATCTCAGAATTAGAAAGTTCTATCTGACATTTTTGGCCAATATGAGTTACTAAGACCACGTACGAGGTCAGAGATCAAATGTTCTATTTGCCTTATCAAAATCGTAAGATTATACATAGTCGTTATCAAGATATACAAAGAATTGCATTCGAAAAAATGTTTGACGTAAAATTTCTCAAAACTAGACACTGAGCAGATAGAACGTTGTAATTCTAGGGTAGCACTTTGACAAATGGCAGTTTACATTCCTGTACACCATCCTATCCTCAATACACCTCCCCCCCCCCCCCCCCCGCTCATACACGAAAAGAAAACCCTTTAAAAAAACCTCCGCACACACATTTACTAAGGGCTCATCACAAGTGACTAATCCGTGCATATGTACTTTCTTGGCGTTAAGGAGCCAATTAGGCCCTAACTTTGATTGACGGCGACTGACAAGCTATCTTCAACCCAAACCAGGAAACCAAAAAAAAAAAAGAAAAGAAAAGAAAAAGAAAAACGAAAAACCTCTTATGACAATCCAGGTTCAAAAACCCAAGACATCAAAGAGGAATTACGCCATGCGTTCACTTCGTGGGCCGCACAACGTTGGGGCTGCACCATTAATTCTGCTCAAATCAAGGGCAAAGTACCGCAGACTCACTATAGCCGAGTTCACTCCGCCCCGCCCACTTCTTTTGATTCAGACCGACTCAAATGGTACGGGAGAAATTGTCAATACACCAAATTCAGCTGAGATCAGCAGATTTCTGGAATTTATTGAAGCCCGAGGTGATCTTAATCTACTTCTTTATTTGTAAAAAGATATTACAGTTTTATTCTACAAAGTCTTGAGGAAAAAAATAGTGAGAAAATAATTTTTTTAAAATAATATCGAGCAAAACCTGGACTCAACCGTACATGTGCTCACTAGTATCATTTTGTTTTTGTTTTTGGAGCTATTGATTTTATGTAGAGCACGAAACCTTTTTTTGTGTTGTTGCATATATGCTCTGTGTTAGTTAAATTTTGGACATAATCATCTGTCAGTGAGGAACAGGGGCCACGAAACTGCCATGGTTTTGGGGGGTCGGGGGGGTCGGGGGTGAAGTGAACTAAACGGCCTTCATAAGAATCACCGGATGTCTTGATGTAGTGGACTTCATCGCCCAAGTGCTGAAACGTCATGTCTTGCCCTTATTTTTTTTTTACCATGCTGTCATTCGAGAAGACATTTCCAAGCATAGAAAAGCACTTTCTCACAGGGCCAATACCGCTATACAATTCTTGGAAGACCAAATCAAATCAACTTTGAAGTGGTTAGATTTTCCAGTAATTAGCACGATTTGAATCCTAGAGGTGTGAGAAGTCCCATGAAACGACAGCTGAAGAAAAACGACTTTTCTCCCAATTCAGAATCTTTATTTGCAACTCTCAGTGACATATATGGGATGAAACGACAGATAATTATTATGCCCAAAATTTAATAGAGTCGAGGCCAAAAGGGCTCATGCTCTACTCAAAACCGATGTCGCCTGAGCAAAAATAGCACTGGGTATATTTAATGTTAAGCTCAAGTTTTGCTTGGTATTTGCGATTGCTGTTTTCCATTTTGTTTGAAACTATCGTAATAAAAAAGTGTTACTTCAGGGATCAAATTCTCCTTTCATTGTGTATGCAATGTATGTCTATTCTAACTATATTTTTGATGCCCCTCAATACATGCGCGAAGACAATGCTTACGTTTCTTTGATTTCGCACCCTTTTGCCAAGCCTGATGTTTTAAAGGTAAGTTTTGAGCGACCCTTTCTCGGGGTCTCTTAACGTTGATGAATTATCAATGTGTCAGATGATGCAGAATTTATTTAGCTTTAAATTAGTATGTTGCATGAGTGGGTTGTGCAGGGCTTTAATACGATGACTGAGTGATTAAATTTTCAAGTTTCTTTTGGACGCCACAGTATAAGGTAGTCGTCTTGAACATTGTTCTGGAATAAGTGCGTGCTATTTAATACAATCGCTGTGGTTACAATACCGTGATAGGAGAAGTATAGACAAATCGTTACCTCAGATTTACACAGTTCTATCTGCTCCAGTACCTAGTTTTGAGAAATTTGACGTCAAAATTTTGAGCTTCAAAGTACATCAAGCTTTTTCGAATGCAATTCTTTGAATATCTTGATAACGATTCCGAGTGATCTTACGATTTTGATAGAGCGGATAAAACGTTTGGATTTTGATCTCATGGTCTCAGAAACTCAAAATTGCCAAAAAATGTCAGATAGAACTTTGTAATTCTGAGGTAGCGAAATGCCTGGTAAAAATCACAGAGACAAGACGTGTTAACGCAAAATCTAGAAAGTGAAGTAAATGAGAAATAGACTTTGACAGCACCTAAACACATGAAATAGGCGACTGTCTATAAAATCAGTAACATGTATGTGCTCGAAAAGTATGAAGTGAAATCTTTTTCCCGATGGAAATATAAACTGCTGGGGGCAAGACTCCTGGGTTTGGCGGAAATGCGAGTGCTGCGTATGGCCGTCATTCCTTGGGCTGACACGGAGTTGAAAGTCCGTTCCATTCGCTTTTTCGAAATTTACTTGAACTTCTAGAATATCTGGGGTCTCCGGTCTCCACTCTCTGTAGAGCCATATTTGACACGCTCTGACGTCATTCGAGAAAAACTCTTTTACACTTTTGTTAAGGATTCAAGGTCTTCGTTTACATTTACCAAAATTTAAAAAGAATCAAAAGATACCAAAGCAGAGAGCAGTCGTTCCACGGGCCCTCAAAACTGTCCACAGTTGTCGAGTACATGTGAGCTGTAAGTGCGAATTTACAAGTGGGCATAGAGAGAGAGAGAGAGAGAGA